GGCGAGGGGCGCTCCGGGGTGCGGGGGAAAGCCCTCGCGGCGCTCGGGGGACAGGCGCTGGGTTGTCCCCCAGCGCTGCCCCCGCTGCAGCCCCTCTGTTTTCCCTTGCAGGAAGCGTTTCCCTGGGCTCGCTCTCCGGCTCCGTCTCTTTGGATTCGTATCCGGGTGTCTGCCAGTCCCCGTTCCTTGATAACAGGTACGTGGCGGGTTAGGGGAGCTGGGGCTGGACCTGTGGGATCCTCTCTTTGCCCGTTCCCTGCCTGCCCATAACGCCCTTTCTTCCCATGCAGGGAGCGGAGCGGCTTCTTCAGCCCGGACCACTGTGAGCCCGAAAGCCCCTGGGCCAGCAGCTCGGCCGCCACCACCCCCTCGACGCCCACAACACCCACCACGGAGGGCGAGGGCGACGGCCTGTCCTACAACCAGCGCAGCCTGCAGCGCTGGGAGAAGGACGAGGAGCTGGGCGAGCTCTCCACCATCTCGCCTGTGCTCTACGCCAACATGAACTTCCCCAACCTCAAGCAGGATTATCCAGGTAAGCGTCTGCCGCGGCCCGAGCCGGGGAAAGGAGCTGGGCGCCCGGAGCAAGGAGAACCCCCCGTGTTCCCATCTGGGAACGGGAACAGCCGCCCGCCCGGTTGTCAGCGTGGGCTCCCTGGGCACAGACTAACGCTCCGTTTCCCTCCGCCTGTGTCCTTTGTCTCCGCTGGCTTCCCAGACTGGTCGAGCCGCTGCAAACAGATCATGAAGCTCTGGAGAAAGGTCCCCGCCACAGACAAAGCCCCCTATTTGGTGAGTGTCCGGGCACCGCCGGGCCGGGGGGTCCGGGTTTCGGGGCCTGCGCGTCACCCGGCTTCGTGTTTCCGTTAGCAAAAGGCCAAAGATAACCGGGCAGCTCATCGCATCAACAAGGTGCAGAAGGTACGTGCTGGAGCCCTTGGCCTCCTGCCCCCTTAGCCCCTTGCCCACCTGCGGGGAGGGGACACGCGGGTGGCCCTGACGCCCCCGGCTCTCTCTGCAGCAGGCCGAGAGCCAGATCAACAAGCAGACCAAAGGGGAGGGACTGCGCAAGCCCGAGCGGCCCTCGCGGCACCTGCGGATCCCGGTGCCGCCGGGGGCCCAGCCCCTGTACATGGGCAGCCCCCCGGGCGCGGGCGAGGGCTTCCTCAAGCCCCCAGCGGGCGCCGGAGCAGGGCCGGAGTCTCCCAGCGAGCTCTTCCTCAAGCTGCCGCCCCAGTCTCCCGCCCAAGTGCCTTCGCACGATCCCTACGGCGCGGCGCCCGCCTACGCGCCGGAGCCGCGCTTCCCCTCGCCCTTGGGCCAGAGCCCCACGGCGGCGGCCCCCCTC